TTCGTCCCTGTTGGCCCCGTGGGGGGGAGCATCGCAAGGGTCCAGGTGGGCCTTCCAGGACCCTTGCGATGTTCCCCCAACACCCCATGGGGCCAGCGCAGTCGAAATTGCCAGCTTCCAGGTGGGGGGAGCGTGGCAAGGGTCCTGGAAGGCTTGGGAAGCCTCATAAGACTCCCAGAAGCTGGCGATTTCACCCCCCTGGCCTTGTGGGGGTGGGGTGGGGGGAGCTTCACAAGGGTGGCGATTTTGCCCCCTCTGACCCCTGGGAAGGGCAAGGTGAGTCTCTAAAGGGACCTGGAACACACCCTAGGACCCTTTGGAGGCTCACCCTGCCCCCCTGGGGTCAGAGGGGGCAAAATCGCCACCTTCTGGGACTCTTCTGAAGCTTCCCAAGCCTCAAAAGAGTCCCATGCGTGGATGGGGGGAGTGTCGCAAGGGTCCTGGAAGGCTCACTCGGACCCTTGTGACGCTCCCCCCCCACACCCCCATGGAGCCAGGGGGGTGAAATCGCCAGCTTCTGGAAGTCTTTTGAGGCTGCAGGGTGAGCCTCCAAAGGGTCCTAGGGTGTGTTCCATAAGATGGACCTCTCCATAAGTCTCACCAATTTTTAGGAGAAGAAAACAGATTATTTTTTCCTGTTTTCTTCTCCTAAAAATTTGGTGCGTCTTATGGAGAGGTGCTTCTTATTTATTTATTTATTTATTTATGTATTTATGTATTTATGTATTTATTTATTTATTTATTTATTTATTTATTTGATTTACACCCCATCCATCTGGCCTATAAGACCACTCTAGGCGGCCTCTGCAATCTCTATCAGGCTAAAAAAAGGGGGGATATGTTAGGCATCCTTCAGTCTCGAAAGACTATGGTAACGTGCTCTGTATGGAGGACTTGGAACAGCATCTAGTGTGCCTGAGGAAGCCAATTCGAGAGTGACAATCTCTTCCACACTGAAGACAAATCCACTCGGTCCCCTGACCAGCTCCTTGGTTTTGCTGCTTTTGTGACTTCCTCTTTGCCTCGGCCTGCTGGACAAGGGTCTCTTCAAATTGGGTAAGGCCATGATGCAACGCCTGCCTCCAGGCTGAACGCTCAGATATCAGGGTTGGGGGGATATGAGGAGCCCTGAAAATATGGCAAAAACATGGGAGGATATGAGGAGCCCTGAAAACATGGCAAAAATGTCTTCAGTGCCCCTAAAAGGCACCAGGCAATTAAAAAGACCACATAAAATTGGGAGTGAGGTGCTGGGGGTCCCATATATTCTAGAAAACCGCAGTATTAGCCCTAGAGGCTGCTGTGCAACATATGCTGCTCATCCATTCTGGATGGATGGCCTGAAGGGCAGGGTCTCTTTTGCCTTTTGATTGATGTCTCAGCCCTTCTGTGGTTTGGATGCATGAAATTAATTGGAGAGTTGTTGCAACTGGTACAGAACTGCACATGGGGTTTCCTGTGCCTCCCTGGCTGTTCTGCACATTAGATCTATTCTTAGGGAAAGGAAATGAAGCAGAGCTGTGCTTTGAGGCACCGTCTCTCCCACTCCAGCTGTTTCTCATCTGGCTGGACCAGTTTGCTCCTGTAGCCCCAGCAGCATGAATGGCTGACTTTCCTGTTGGGAATTTGTACCCTGAATTTTGAAATGAAGTCCATGAAAAGACTGTGAAAAGTATTCCTTATCTATGTTTCTTATATTTATATTGTCCTTCTCCTTTGTTTGGTGAAAGGTCATTTTGCATCAAGAAAAGAGCACGTCCTCTGTTGTACTGTAGACATAGTAGTGGACCACCAGGCCATCTATCAATTTCAATGTGAAATGGCTTTCCTTGTGGGGGCTTACAGACCCTCAGTGCTGTGATGGAGCGGTTGCAGAATGAGGAGCTTGCTCCCTTGAGGAGAAGACGAGGAGGGGGCGAAAGGCAGCTGTCTTCTACTCTCCCTGACTACAATGGGCCTTATTTACCTCTGACAAGCATTTTGCAGTCACCAGTTTACAGCCACAGGAGAAACATGCTTTGTTCTAGGGCAAGATAGGATCTTGAATAAACTAGCTATTTAGACCCTGTCTGTCTCCTGCTTTCCTTTTACACCTTTGTACATACACTGGTGTACTAGCTCCATTGCTGGGTACAGAAGCATAATATTACTACATAATTTTTACATGATACAACCTCATTTAATTGCAATCTCATCTTTATCCTCTGTTAGAAAATAGGATTTTCTTTTCAAAGTACTTCACATATATTTGCTCAGTGGTTTCTTCAGCATTTGTGGGGAACAGCCTTGTGTCAACTCAGTTCTGAATGTTCTCAATCAGTATGTGATGTGGTCTGACTCAAGTTTATTTATTTAAAATATTTATAATCTACCTTTCCCTAGAGCAGTGGTTCTTAACCTTTGTTACTCAGATGCTTTTGAACTGCAATTCCCAGAACCCCCAGTCAGCACAGCTTATGGTGAAGGCCTCTGGGAGTTGCAGTCCAAAACTCCTGAGTAATCCAAGGTTAAGAACCAGTGCCCTAGAGCAGTGGTCTCCAACCTTGGGCCTCCAGATGTTCTTGGACTCCATCTCCCAGAAGCCTTTACCATTACCTCTGCTGGCCAGGATTTCTGGGAATTGAAATCCAAGAACATCTGGAGGCCCATGGTTGGGGACCACTGCCCTAGAGGACCCAAGGCAGCATCCAATATTAGAACAAACAATATTAAAAACCTTTTTGGGCAAATAGCACAATTAGCCCTGTTTTTAAGTAACTCTCTTAGGCACCCAATTATTGAGAAGAAGCCTGGCTGAACAGGTCTGCGCCTGCTTGCAGAAAACAGCAAAACGAGGGGCAGCAAGGCTTCTCCTTGGAGGGAGGTTCACAATTTGGGAGGAGAGACAGAGAAGGCCTTCTCTCATGTCCTCACCAAACAGACCTGTGAGAGTGGCCAGTCTGAGAGAAAGGCCTCCCCTGATCATTTAAATTCCAAGCACACACACTCTCTCTCTCTCACACACAATGTGCTCCTTCCTCCTTCATCAACACAAAGTAAGAAATGTATATGGTGCCTAATGTGTTTATTAACCATATATTTACTATGTATGTTTTTCTTTTTTGGGCTGAACATGTAATCCTTTCAACGCTTATCTTGGTGACCAGCTAGATGCTGTTGCCCTCTACCACCTGCAGGGTTATATATAATTCTAATATTTAATTACACACATTTTTCAAAGAGCTATATTTTTCTTCTTTTTTTTAACCCCTTCAGTAGCTTCACCGTGCTGAAAGACATACTTGGGTGGGTATGCAAAAAATCCTGGCCCTCTCTTACACTACGAATCAGCACTCTGATTCTGGGACACAGCACTAATTTATTTTAGCATTATGAAAAATAGAATTTTATTCAAAATGTTTATATTATATGGACTGCAACTAAAAGTTTGATCTCTGAGCCAACTTCAAGTCCCTGAACGAAACTCTGCACAAGTTTTTAATCATACCTCTGTCATGAATTGACTGAACAGTCTCAAGTTACTATCTTTCAGTCCTAGCCACTCATTTGCAATCTGTGGGTTAATACACTATATAGCTATGCAGAATAAAAAGTTCATGTACCTTAAACACTGTAAAGTACCATACAAATTCTAAGCATTGCTTAAAACACCTGCTTCCCCATATTGTCTGTCAATGTGGTGATTCCTTCATGTATACATTTATTTGTGGGTTGGGTATCTGGCTGCAGAGCCAGAGGTTGCAAGTTTGATTTCCCACTATACCTCCCAGAAAAGTCAGCCTGTCTAACTTTGGGCAAGCTGCAGAGTCCAAGTGGCTCCTGGAAGAAGGGAATGCTAAACCACTTCTGAGAACTGTATACCGTGGCTCCTGGAAGAAGGGAATGCTAAACCGCTTCTGAGAACTGTATACATAAGAAATTCTGGAAAGTGTCACCACAAGTCAGAATTGTCTTGACAGCATGTAATTATTAATTAACAGCACCAGGTTTGTATGGGAATAGCTTTTTATGCCTATATAGTGGATATACATGGGTAGAGTGCTAGGATGATTGGTAGCTGAATATTTGGTTGGTGTTGGAATATAATGGGGAAGAGGTCTGGTCTGTGTGAATTAGTTGTTAGAGCAGAGGCAGTCAGAACTAAGAGAAAGAAGTTTGTTTTAGAGTCAGTCAGAAGTAGTTTGTGCAAGAATTTATTACAAAAAGATTGTCTAGACAGCCTAAAGTGTATCAGGAAGTTAAGAAGTTATTTTGGCCTCAAATTACAGAAAAATATTTGTACGTTTTACTGTTGTTCTGATCATTATCATGTATAGCTTATAACCTACCTTTCCCTTCATACTAATTACTTGTAGTCCCTTTTTGTTTGTTTAAACCAAACTCTCCAGATTATTATTTTTTTGTAACTAAGAAGCAGACTACAGATAGACAGCTATATATCCATGTCATGTGAAGCTATATGTTGCTAGTAGAAACAGAGTAGTTAACTAAAATAGAAGAGCCCTTTTACTAATCACCTGAATATATATAGAGCAAGACTGTGGCTGGGTAAGAACAGAACCCTAGGTAACACTTTCCTTTCAGGCTAACACTGGTTAACACTTTTATTAGTAGTACCTAAGGAGTGGTAGCCAGACATAATGTATGTAAAAAGTGCCTGCAACTGCTGGAGCAATGTGAAAATTAGTAGAAAAGTCATCACCTAACTCGGGAAGTAAGGTCAGTGCAATCTCCATTTGGTTTGCCTACCTAAGCTTGAGTCAACTAATTTGGAAATCCCAAAATATTTTTCATTTTGATTTATCAGTCACAGTTGCACCATGCTTGAGAACCCACAACACGAGCTAACCAGAATTATACAAGTTCCACTTGCTAAGCAGTCCAGAAATGTTTTTATTTGTACAATAATGATGTTGTAAAATGTTGTAAAGTTTGGTTTATCTGACATGAGCCAATCCTGAACTCCATCTAAGAAATAAAGGCACAAAGTGGAGGTCACCAACTTTTAAACATGTACATTGTTTTTATTTATACAAGATAGAGAAAGAATGTAGCAATTTTTGTTTTTACTTGCAATCACCTAAGATTAGCACTGCTAATTGAATGCTAGAAATTTAGTTCAGGATCAGGTGGGGGGATTGCAGCTGAGAGATGAACTAACAAACTCTCCCATCCCTCACTGAACATTAAAAGTAGGGAACATCTATATTTATACACGACATACAGCTAGAATGTTACTTCTCTCAGGATGACTGGACCCCTCTCATCCTCTGGTGGAAGAGATATACAAGACCAGGATTCCCAAGTGCAAATATTTAGGTAAGATGAAGAAAAAGAGAAAAAGAAAAAGAAAGAAAATAACCCTCCCAGCAGTCTCTTATGGCTCCTCCCATTTGGATGCCTCCACTTGGTCTCACAAGTCACAGCAATTTGTTTCATTGCCAGCATGAACAGCTTTGCTGTTAGGAGTCAGGCCTGGCTAGCAGCATTCAGGGAGGGGGAAGGAGCAGAGGCTTTAGGGTTGAGGCACTTGGAAGACAACAACCCTCATCTTTTTGCTTTGCGGCTGCAAGCCTGCCAAAGTTTTTGGATGGCACCAGAGCAAGAAGAGCCATAAAGTGCAAAGGAGGTGGCAGCAGTGAGGCTGGTCAAGGCCACGCCTGGGTCGCGTGTGTGCATGTTTCCACTAAAGTCTGACTCATGTAACATGGCAGGAAGCAAGGGCAGGGGGAGTACTAGGAAGCTGCTTTCCTAGAATGGAATGGTTTTGGAAAAGAAGTGGCACAGGGGCAGCAAGTGTAAACTTTTCTTTGTTAATATCTCTAGCTAGCTGTGTTCTACAATCCTGTTATCCAGTTTTGGAGTTCATGGTCCTCAAGAACTGGCCACCTCAGATTGGCTTGATCTAGGTTTCCGCTGCGGCAAGGCCTTAATTTCTTTGCTGAGTGGGCCCACATGTGCCTGTGCTGGTGGACTTGCCTCTGGCCCAGTACCAGTTCCATTAGTTCCTGTGGAGGAAGGCTGGTTGAGGTTGCTTGTGTTTCCAGGAGGGGGCCGGTACCTGGAGCCAGACTGGTACCAAGGCCCACTTCTGTACCGATTTGAATTGAGGTGTGGGGGCCCATTTTGGCGCTGTCCTTGTGGCCGATAACCTTGACCAAATCTTCTATTACCTTGGAACCCCTGAAATGGAAAGAAGACAAAAAGTAAGAACAAGCAATCATCTATAATAGTTGGGCTACTTTGCCATAGTGAACCCAAGAACATCAAATATATTCTATCACATGATTACACACAAACGTGAACCTTCTATTCCAGCAACAGGCTGAAAATGACATCAGCCATGACTGGGTACAGACTTTGTGCCTTCTAGTCTGATAGCTTGTGTTAATTTTTCTATTTTTTTCTTTTCTTTTTTTAAAGAGTAATATTGCCAAAATTATTGCCAAGAACTTTTAGGCTGGTATAATTTGATTTCTAGTGAGGAGTTAATTCAAACTGATACACTTTATAGCTACAGCTGGATTTTGATTCCATTCACAAGCTTGAGAAAAGCAAATACAACTTGAATGCTGTTTCACGTAAAGATCTTTACATCCAGAGCTAATAGGTACAAGCATCCTCTCCCACCATGAACAGCACAGACAACTCAAGCTCTTTATGTAAGCTGTAAAATGTGAAGGGTCCTGCTATTTGGGAGATAAAAATTAAAAAAAAAATGAAATAAATCGGCAGGCAGTTACATGTGTCTGTTACTCTTTACCCCTAAATTGCAGCTGCCTAGTTTACCCCCCGCCCCCATCACCAAAGAAGCATGGTTCTTCCTCTTTTTACATTGCCAGAATGCCCTTTAGGGTAACATGCAAGAGTTAAAGAATACTGAGACACTAAGCCATAGGACACAAAACCACACTGTCCTGGTGTCATCTTTATGACTGCTTCCATTGTGCTGTATAACTCCTACTGTATGGCTAGGGCAGTAATTTCGAACCTTTTTGGGCTCGAGTGCCCAAACTGAAAAAGAAAAAACAACCCAGTGGGTGGCGGGCCGTGGTAGAACCGGAAGTGGTGGTGAAAGGTGGAATCCCAGGCATGGAAGTGCCTCGAGACTCCACTCCAGTACCGCTACCAGTGCCAGCTGGTCTGAATCCTGGCCCACCGCCTGTCAAAGCACCAGCACCATGGCTGCAGCTGCCTCCACAGGTTTGGCTGGGGGGGCGGAGGGGAGTAGCGATCTGGTGACTTACGGCTCACGTGCCCACAGAAAGGGCTCTGTGTGTGAGCTGTGGTACACATGCCATAGGTTCGCCATCATTGGGCTAGGGCAATGTGCCACAAAGCTGCATGCTTTGGCACTCTGGGGAGTGACAGGATAAAATATAGACACAGATACCCAGAGTCAAATACTACACCACTCTCAACTGTAGCACAGAATGTTATTACCTCACGGTATGGCTGGTATGGACGACTTGCTGCATTTATGGGAGTTTCTCCTGAAGATGGTGTTTTCTTATTGGGTATGGTAAGGTTTGGAGCAGAAGCAGAGGCACAAGCTGTGGTGGTGGAGTCACCTGGGTTGCTTACGGGCATGGAGGTGATGGAGCTACACCGTGATCTAGTTGAGTAACTGTTTTTTGGGTGAGAAACTGAAATGAAAATTGAGATAAATGTGTAGGTAACCTATGGCAATCCAACACTATTTGACATATTTTTTCTAATAGAAGGAAGAGATTATCTTGAAAATGATTGTCTATAGCCTTGCATAAACAAAGTGATGGCAGCATTAGCCTCTTCTAAAACCAAAAAGTACTACCTACTGAAAGAAAATACTAGCAACAAGTACTGACAGGATGGTAGCCAAAACAGAACAACATACCAGCATGTTGGAGGAACACCCATGGTGTGCAAAAATAGACATTTTAAGGGGGAGTGGAAGAACATCTAAACAGAGAAAAAATGTCCTAAAGTGGATTGTACATACTTTGTAAGCAAAATGGAAGCCAGTGCAATTGGTTCAAGAATGCTGTTGAATAGTTTCTAAAATATACTACAGAAAACAGCCTATCTGCTGCATTTGATGCTAGCTTTTGCTTCTGAATACTTTTCAGGGGCAGCCCCACATAGCCTTTGTTATCTTAGTTTAAGTGGGTGGCAAGGCATGGATCACTGTAGCCAAACCTGCCATCCAAAATGAAGGGGTGCAGCTAGCATACCAACCAAAGTTGGCCAAAGGTATTTCTGGCCACAGCAGCTATCTAGCTTTCCAGGAGCAATGCTTGGTCCAAAATCACTCCCAAACTGTGAATCTGGTGCTTCAAGGGCAATACTTCCTCCTCCAGAACAAGCTATAAAACCAATCCCAGATTCCATGTTTGGCAGCCTTTTCATCCAATTCAACCCATCACTTGAATGTAGTACTCTCAAGTGACTTTCCCATGTCTAGCTTGGCTCACCTTGCCCAAAGGATTCAATGCTCTTCTTTAGTGCATCCAGATCACAAGTGAAGCGAGCCACCCTTCCCAGATCCTCATCGTATTTGCGCTCACTAACAAAGTGCTGAAAAAAAGAATGGTGGCATGTTAAGGTTTCATTAGCAGTTTCATGTTGTACCAGCTCAGGGTCTGAGATGGGAAGAAGCACAAATTTGGCATCAGCCACGGCATAAATCCAAAGGTGAGAGGAAAATGCACATTCCTTTTCCTGAATTACCTGCACAATAAAAAAAAACACTTAAGACTGTATTACTCTGGCAAACATAAATCTGCATAAGCGTATTCAAGGCAACAGATATTGATGGCACCAGCAGCATTTACAGACATTTAAAAACAAACATGGTCAAGAAAATAGACTGCTCATGCAAAGGCAGTGAACTTGTGTTTCTCAGTTTCAGCAAAACAATTCTGTTCTGCCCTCTAGTGGTAGAAAGAGGAAGCATTTCTAGAGCTGCATATACAGAAACACATTTAATAACTATTTATTTATTTATTTAATTTATTTGACTTTTATGCCGCCCATCTGACTGCCAAGGCCACTGGGCAGTTTACAAACAGGATAAACAACAACATAATAACAATAACAGGGTAATCAACAACAATATAAAAGGCACTAGACAAATTACACAAAAAACCCACATAATAAAAACATAATAAAATAAAATGAAAATAGAAACATGGTGGTTGGATGTTAGTTACTGAAGACACTATTGTATCAGGGCGTTTAAAAATCCAAGAAGGCCTGTCTGAATAGCCCCAGTGAAGGGGCCAGGCAGATTTCGGGCGCGAATCTGTTCCATAGTTGCGGGGCAGCCACTGAGAAGGCCAGAGTTCTGGTCATCATTTTTCAGGCCTCTTGTGGTCAGAACTCTCAACCGCCTGGCCTGTGAAGATCTTACAGGGTGGGCAGATCTGATCAGAAGGATATTGAGGTCCTAAACTATTTAGGGCCTTATAGGTTAACACCAACACCTTGAATAGAAGGTGGCATAGAAGCGAACAGGTAACCAGTGCAAGGTGGCCAAGGTGGCAAAAATGCGTTGGCATTTCCTAACCTTACTCAAAAATCTGGCCACTGAGTTCTGGACCCATTGGAGTCTCTGCAACAGCCCCAAGGGCAGCCCCACATAGCCAGTGTCAAGGTAGGAATGAAACTGGACAACCCATCTTAGATGGAAATAGGCTTCTGCCCAGTTCTGTTTCTTGGAATTCTGTCAGAAATAACAGATTCTCTCTAAAATGACATTTTTGGGTTGGTTTTTTTCATTGGTAAGATGAACATCAGCCCATTTTTCCTCAATGTATATAAAACAAGGATACCCTATAATTCCTGGGCCCATGTTGGGCAACTACGGCCTTCCAGAGGCTGCTGGACTGTAGTTTGCATTGTCTCTTCTTCACTGGCTCCGCTGGCAAGGACCGAAATGGGCTGCAGTCCAGTAGGATCTGGAAGGTCAGGCACTGCCCTGTTTTCTTCTGGTCTAGCTCATTAGAGCCAAACCTGACAGGCACATCAATAACAGTGCTGAGTTCACATAGACCACCCCAGTCTGAGATTCACCTTTATGTCCGCTCTAAGCTCTACCAACTGCTCCTCTGACATTCGGACTGCCACATCAGTCAGCTTCTTCAACGCTTCCGCCTTCTTTTGTCGACTGCTTAGGATTTCCACTGAAATTAAAGGGGAGAGGGAAAGCTTATGCCTGGTGCTATTACATGTCTTGCTTATGTACTCTGAAAGCTAAAAAGGTCAGAAATTAATTAACAAATGTGAAGTTCAATTAAAGAAGAGGCTAGAATCCCAACCTTCTACCAAGGTCTCAAAGACCAATTGAAGACTTGCACTGCTTCTGAAAGGTGCACCACTTTGGAAAACTTCCAGGGTAGACAAAAATTGATAGATCTAAAGCAGACAACTGAAGGGTTCATGCTCTAACTTTCCTATCCTACTGAACCGAAGACTTGTTAACCAAGAGTGCAGAAGGCCAAATCAGATGTGAACAGGATCTCTACTGAGCAGAAGATTTTTGAACAGGATCTGGGTGTAACATTAATTGGTCAGCCAATTAATTAATGGCAACTATGTTCATGCATGTGATTTTCATTTTCATGCATGTACTGATAGGAGTGCTGGATAGGTTCCCATTATGAAACTTGGTCAACTGAGGCTGCTATTTGCCTTACAGAGGGGAAAAATACAATTATGTCTTGAACTTATGTGTAGAGCTGCAGTTGTTTCTTGAAGTTCTTGGTTTCAGACAAAGACTTAAGTCTCTGAATTCAAACAACTAGGCTAGGCACAAACAGGACACCCTTTAAAAAACTTATGCCAATATTGTTCAGAAATGTTTGGCTCTCCAATGGAGAGACTTCACACTTGCACCTGTACATATAATTAAAATGGTGCTAGCATATAGGCAATAAGACAGTGAGGAGCAATGTGCTAACCAGGAAGACTGAGAACAAGTATTTATGCATACTGAGAAGTTCTAAGAGTATTTGTCCCAGATACGTCTCACATAAAAAGAGCACTGCTTTTGTTCTTCCTCATAATGTAGGCCACAAATGGGGCTCTGAAGAGAAACAGAACACAGGGATAAAATTTTATCTACTTAGATAAAATTGCCAGATGTTCTTCAATTGCAGCCATAATTCACAATTTTTTGGCATGCCTTCTCTTTTTCTAAATACGATGTGATTCTCATACATACATACATACATACATACATACATACATACATACATACATACATGCATGCATGCATGCATGCATGCATGCATGCATGCATGCATTATCTGCAGTATGGGTTTTAAGTTATTTGGTAGTGACACAAGATGGAAAAGTAGAAGGCCTGGCTTGTACATCCATTTGATTAGCTCATTCTAGGGGAAGATCAGTTTTTTGGAGCTTTAGCACGAAGATATTTAACAAGGTTTCTTTTAAAAGATCTTACTTGCTTCTGCTTTCACTTTGTCCATTTCACCTAGAAGGGCTACCTCTCGATCCATGAGACTATAGAAAAGAAAAAGGAGAAAAGGTAAAGGTGAGATAAAAGACTTTATACTCCAAGCCTGTCCGTCACTTTGGCAAAAACCAAACCAGCAGCCAAACAAGTAAAAAGAAATAGTTCCGTGCTATTCAGTGATATTTCAGAGTGCAAGTGGATCAGTCCTCGTTCTTTCCAACAGATGGCAGCAGAAAGCTGCAAATCTTTCCAGAGTTTTTGGGACAGCTTCTCATGAATTAAGAGAAACCCAATATGAGCCTTCTGTTCATTATCATTTGGGTTCCTAGAAGCCAAACACTGGGAGTTTTAAATTCTAAATCTTCAAAACCTATGTACAGCTGTCCAAGTTAATTTCAATTCCTGTGCAATGTTTTCCAAATAATCGAAGGGGGTACCTCAAAGAGATCACACACACCCTGTTTGCTATTGTCTGGGACAACTCTCTCTGGTACTGAAATGGGTGATTTTTCACAGGAAGGTGACAGAAATATTTTTAGAGAGAATCCTGATTACTTTATCTCTTCCTATTGATTGGGATGTCACACAGAACAAACAAACAGAATGAGGAGATGTTTAAATGAACAGATGCAACCCCTCAGTCCCATAGCATTAACACAATATGTGCAATATCCTGCCAGGTACTTTACCTATCTTAAATCAAAACAACACTAAATAATAAAACAGCATTAAAAACCTTAAAGGAGGTTATCACGGTTCTTGTAGACATTGGAATATTTCAAACCCTAGTAATAAGTTGCTCACCAAAACAAATCACTACTATGAAAGCTCGCTCTGGAAGACCTCAGAGCTTTCTATA